CTCAAGACTTTGTAAAAGAATTCAAAATGAAAAAAGTCTTAATATTTGTATTATTAGAAGTGATCATGGTAAAGAATTTGAAAATGATGATTTTATTATGTTTTGTGATGAGTTTGGAATTAATCATAATTTTTATGCCCCTAGAACTACTCAACAAAATGGTGTAGTTGAAAGAAAAAATAAAACTCTTAAATAAATGGCTAGTACTATTCTTTGTGAAAATAATTTGCCTAAATATTTTTTTGCGGAAGTTGTTAACACTGTATGCTATATTATAAGCCATGCCATGATTAGACATATTCTTAAGAAAACCCCTTATGAACTTTGAAAAGGTAGAAAACCTAATATTAGTTACTTGCAAGCTTTTGGTTATAAATGCTTTGTATTGAATAATAATAAAGATAACTTAGGAAAATTTGATACCAAATCGAATGAAGTTATATTTCTTGGTTATTCTATATCCAGTAAAGCTTATCAATAAAAGAACTCTACTTGTTGAAGAATCTGTGCATGTTGTTTTTTATGAATCTAACAACATTATTTTCAAGAATCTTATAAGTAATGATGTAACAACCCTTACCTTGTCTTAGTCATGCTTGCATGCATTTGCATGATCCTTGTCTTGGTTAAGCTTGCCTATTTACAGACTTTGATTTGTTTTATCTAAGTGTTGTTTGCATGCTTTGTTCCTTGCTTGCGTGTGTTAGGCCGAGATCATCTTAAGCCTAAGTCGCACCTTTGAACCTCTTACACTTAAGACCATCTTGAAACCACTTTGGTTGACTTCCACCTTCACCCTGGCATATTGGCCGAGATGTCATCATGTAGTTCAACCTGTGAACTGTGTAGGGTTGGCGACTGGAGAGACACGCTCTAGCACACCGTAGCCCGAACACTGTGAGTAACAATTGTGTAAAGATATGTTCAACTGAGAATGTTTTCTGACTGTTTAACGAAACTGTTTTCTAAAGTACTTATTGTTAATTGTTGAATGTATGTCCTATATTCCGAAATGTATTGTGGCATCCTTAGCAACTGTTGTATACTGTTACTGCTACTGTTACAGAGATCTCTGTCGGTTCCCTCGCGGAACCACTACTGTTTACTGACTGATGGCCATCATTACTGTTTGGTCTTTAAGACCTACTGTTTACTGCTATGCTAATGGATGTACCACATATGACTGAATAACTGTTCTGACTGAAAGACTGAAGTATTGTTGAATGAACTGTTTTCATTACTGTAAGGACATTTCATTCTTAACCTCTTTGCGCATTATGTTATTCACTGGGCTTTAGCTCACTGTTTATATATATATATGTAGGTGCTCAGCCACCAGATCGGAGCTAAGAGCGCGGGTTAGACTCCAGTTTTGTCAAGCCAGCCTTTGTGCCTCACTGCGAGGTTCCGAGTCGCCATGCTATGTCTTTGGGGTGCTCTGTTTTCTCCCCCTCCCCCCCCCTCCGCGTCACTGTTTGACTACTGTATAGACTGTCAGCTGCTAACTGTACTGTTATCAAGGGATTAGGTCCCTGTACTGTGTAACTGTAAATTTTGTATAGACTGTACTGCTTGTATATGTGAATGCATGAAAAATCTTTTTGGCATACAGACTGTCACAGCTCAATGGACATTATTTATTTACTGTATTGGCTTCCGCCAGGCCCTGTACTCTGTTTTATTGTGTTACTATTCTGCAGGCCTTCGGTAATCTCGGATTACTGGCCGGTTACGGTGCTAAACCCATAGGGCCGGGTTTGGGCTGTGACAAGTTTCTAATAGTTTTATTCGAATGGTGTGGATCAAGCATCTCCCACCCAAAGTGCAATTCTTTGGTTGGCTTGCATGGAAACACAAGTTGAAAACCTTTGTTTTCTTACAGCGATTTGGTATCTTGGATGGGTCTGCTTCTACCTTAGGAAATAATAGAACATGTGCTAATTTTTTTCCCTCTAATGTGGAGAGTCTGGACTGGGTTGTTACAGTGGTGGGATTACTTTGGTTGTCCTGAATTCTGTTCAAAGTCCGCTGCTATGGTAGTCAGGTTACAACTGTAGGAAATCTGAACGGCGAATTTGCTGCACCATACCTCTGGTGACTCTCTGGTCGATCTGGAAACATAGGAATGATTGTCTCTTTCAAGCTTCTCATACCTCTGGTGACTCTCTGGTCGATCTGGAAACATAGGAATGATTGTCTCTTTCAAGCTTCTCCACCAAATCTACAGGAGCTGCAAGAGTTCATCATCACCAGGCTTGCCATATGATTGAAGGCTACGTCCAAGAAGCTTCATTTTTCGATTAATGACTTCCTATATAACATCTCAAGTGTTAGGCATTGTATCCAAGGCTAGCTCTGCAATTGATTTCTTTTTCTTTGTTGTTGGGCTGATCTTGTATCGTTGGTTGTTCTCTCATCAACCCGAGGTGTCCTTGCAATTAATTGGGCATCCCTTTTGGTGATGCTTGATTCTTTGCCATCCCTCATCCTTTTTGGATGCTCTCATGTTTTTATGGTTTCATTATTAATATATGGCATTTTTGCTGTTCAAAAAAAAAAAACTAGTTTTAAGTAAATTTTATTTAAAAAATAATGACATATTGAATAATGTTTAAATAAGTTGTGATTAATATTTTATGAGCATGTTATGAATGATGATAAATTTTTAGAAATTATTGTTTTAATTTGAATCCAACTGTGTTTTACAGATTTTTAATTTTGAAATTTTTATGAAAAAATTATGAAATGGTATATAGTGATTTAGTCATTGATTTTCTTTTAAACCAAACCATACTTACGGACAATTATTTAAAAAGTGGAAGTCAGTGTGCGACGTATTATTTTAAAAATAATATATGATAAATTAATATTTATAGAACAAGAACAAGTCAAAAAAGTTATTTGGCTGGTTGCTTGTAATTCAAAACCAAACGAATTATTGACAACTTTCTCTTAATTCAATACTTTTTTAAAATTTTTAATGGATGATGATCTATTACGCATTTTGCTTACACTTAAAAATTAAGACATAGTTATCATGGAATTAGTCATCATGGGAGGTTTTATCACTATCTTAAGCCAAATTTCAAACAACTTTGGAGTTTAATTGACTTAATTGACCAAAGACTATCCGCGTTTAGATTTAGTTATCCAAGGAAGGTGACTTTTTTTTTTGATGAGTAAGTCATATTGTAATAAAAAAGAAGAGATATAATAAAATCCAATACACAGCTTTTGTAGGTAGAACAAAAAAACAAAAACAAAACTACTCCATCAAAAGAAAAAAAACTAAGCACATAGAAGACAAACACAACATTCACAACAAAAAGGATTTAAAATTTCTCTCTAGCACTCTTCGAGTTATGAAATTTCATTTTAAGTTTTCTTCTGTTATCCTCCTTTGTCATCTCCCCATTACTGAGGTTATTTGGAGATGGACTCCCTCTATTTTTTAAACTCTTCATTTAGCACAACCCTTGACTTAATTCTCTATTCCCTAACTTTTTCATATCACACGATTAAAAGACATCAAAAACATTAGATGTTGAGAGGGCATGGATCGATCTCTCTCTCTCTCTTTATTTATCACTATCCTTAAACCTTTCTCAGCATCTCTCCTTTTTTTTTTTACCACTTCTCATTTAGTCAGAATTTGTAAGGTCTTAACACGTGTCCAAACATGGCAAGTCCGCCTCTTGATTCTGTGGCTTTGATCTATTTATAGGATGAGTTGAAAGGCCATTTCATCAAGACCTTGTGCCAAACACACGCCTAACCTTCTCAATTCTCTCTCTCTCTTCTCAAAGGTATGTTTGATAATATGCATTTCCATAAAAGAAAATACTATTCATACACAATTTATATATAAAATTACTTATCAGTATGATGTGTACGTAGAGTTTTCGTAATTAAATGTCATTTTAAGTAGATATTTTTACTTTAAAACAATAAATCTTAATACAATTATATTATTTTGTATATCATTATTCTTTTCAATATTGGATTTAAGTAGCAAAATTTTTTTTACCACTCCATCTCACCGTGCGTGTAGGCTTTACTTTCATATTTGATTATTTGCATGAAAATTTTTTAAGTACACAAAACAATATATAATCGTCTCATATGTGTTGGATTGTATTTGATCTTGTGATCAAATTATATGCAAGTAGGCTGATCAAAAAAAAATTATATGCAAGTAAAAACTTTGATTTACTTGAGTAAGATTATTTGCATTTCAATCATTCATAGAATGATTCACAACAAGACACGAGAAGATTGGCCCAACTGTGTCTTGATTTTGCATTGTTGTGAATGGCTTTTGTGTATATACATGTTTATTTTCAGCTTTGGTAGTGAGACAGAAACAAATTATAGAAACTCACATATACGTGGAATTTCATTTTATGTTGGGGCGTATAGACACTACAAACATGCAAGTGTTTTATTTATGTGTTAATAGCATTTTCGTGTCCATTTCATAACCTATATCATGATTGAACAGTCTTCTCTGCATGAATAGGGGACGTGAAGATGATGATGATGAAAATTTCAACAGCAGTTCATTTTCTGTTGATGATCATATTTTGTGGTGTCTCCGCCGCGACACCACCAGCAGCAGCTCCTCCGCCGGTGACGGAGGCAGCACTTGAGAAAGTGGCTGCTTCTCTGAAGATGTATGTGGATGAACTACCAGAGATGCCTAAGCTCTATGGCTACACAAAAGGCTATGGTGATTCAACCAAACCTGGCAAACTCACCATTGGCATGTATGAAACCAAATGGGTATGTATATGTACCTTAAAAAAATAAAAAATAAAAAATACATCGAATGGAGTGTTGTTATAAATAAAACTACCTCAAAAAAAATACATGCAATATAGTTTGGAGTGTTGTTATATATAAAAAAACCTTAAAAAAAATACATGCAATGTAGTATGGAGTGTTGTTATATATAAAACTACTAAAAACCACAGCACAAATAATGGAGGATTATATATAAAAATAATAGCACAATAAAGAAGCACAACTAGATATTATTAGGTAGCATAGTATTTATATATATCTACATCAATGATTAACACTAATGCTAGAGATATTATTTATTGAACAAAAGGTTGTTTACAAAAGCACATTTATTTATCTTTTTTTATTTTTTTTAATCACATTGTCTTTCTATTTTGTTGCATATCTTTTCGTAAAAAATCAAAAATTATATTAAATCATTCCAAACAACCACTAAGTCTATGAACCAAACTTATGCCCCCGAAGTTACCTACCTCGAATGAGAATGTATGGTTGAGATTGAATTTGTGTAGTGTGGATTCTATGTGTAAAATAAATTTAAATCACAAAATGGTAATTCTGAATAATTTCATGGATAGTTAAGTCTGGATTTGTAGTATTACTGCTATTTATTGGTTGGGTTTTTTTTGTAAGTATTAATTATTATACGAATCAAATTCTTAATAATTTTGAATCATGTTAATTGAGCTTGTGAGAGGTATCATGATCCCTTCTTAATAATTTGAACTATTCATTTTTAAAGCACAATTGTGATAGGTTTCACATAAAATAAGATCACGATATATTATTTCTCCGCTCTTTGTTGAAACTAAGGCCCAATTTGGGGTGTTGATTTTTTAGAGATTTGTTTTCTAACTTTTAATATTATATAAACATAATTAAAATTTTCATGTAAAAAGTTTATTGAGACTAACGTGGCATTATATAGTTATTACATTTCAGAAAATTTTTGAGATTTTAATAAAATTTTCATAATTTTATTGATAATAATGTGCAATAATAGAAGTTAATTTTTAATTTATTATATACTCAATTATGCGAAATTCTACTCTCTTACCATATCATTGAATTGTATTTGAAAATTTTAAATGTGAAATTTCTAACATTATTCGTTCAATTTTTGTTTGTAAATCATTTTTCTAAACTTTAACATCCTTCTTATCTTTTGTAGAAATTCCACCGCGATTTTCCAGCAACCACCGTGTTCGCCTATGGAACATCCGCCGAAACGGCCACTGTGCCGGGACCAACCATCGAGACACTCCACGGCGTAGCCACCAACGTCACATGGGAAAACCACCTCCCTCAGTCCCACATCCTCCCTTTCGACACCACCATCGCCACCGCCATCCCATCCCACGGCGGCGTCCCCACCGTCGTCCATCTCCACGGCGGCATCCACCCACCCCAAAGCGACGGCAACCCCCTCGCATGGTTCACCGCCGGTTTTCGCGACACGGGCTCAGCATGGACCGAATCAACATACTTATACCCTAATGTCCAACATGCAGGGAATCTATGGTACCATGATCACGCTCTCGGCCTGACACGTGTCAATCTCCTAGCGGGCCTGATTGGTTCTTATGTGATCAGAGACCCCACGGAAGATTCAATGTTGGATCTTCCGAGGGGAGAATTCGATCGCCACTTGATGGTGTTTGATCGAAGTTTTTACAAAGATGGATCATTGTACATGAATTACACAGGAGATAATCCAACAATTCATCCACAATGGCAACCCGAGTATTTCGGAGATGCCATTATTGTTAACGGAAAGGCGTGGCCGTACCTTCGGGTACAGCGAAGAAAGTACCGGTTTCGAATCATTAATTCTTCAAATGCAAGGTACTTTCGGTTTTCGCTGACGAATGGTTTGTCATTCGTTCAAGTGGGATCGGATGCTTCGTTCTTGTCGTCTCCGGTGACTACGCGGATTATTTTTCTGGCTCCCTCGGAGATTGCTGATGTTGTTATTGATTTTTCGCAGACGAGTAAGAGTGAATCTGTGCTGAGAAATAGTGCTCCGTATCCGTACCCGAGCGGTAGTGCTGTTGATAAGCTGAACAGTAAGGTTATGAAGTTCATCATCCTCCCCGGACCTCCAAAATCACCAGACACTTCAAAGGTTTCTTCTTCTTCTTCAAATTTTAATAAAAATAAAATTCTTTAACAATTCCATTACAAATCTGTTTTTAAATTTATTATTACAATAATAAGACTGATTGGAACACATTAAATCCAAAAAAAAAAAAAATTATTGGTTCAGTCAGTCTTGAGTGGACACATTTTTTTGAAATATTTTCAAAAAAATTTTGAACAAATCACAAAACCCAAAATAAGCAAAAAATAAAAGTCCAATATCTTTTGTTTGATTTTGTCTATTCTAAATTTTTTTGAAATTTTGAGTTTTTTTTTTTTTTGTCAAGTAAAATCTAAGGGATCCTCAAAAATATTTTACAAAAATCATTTTCAAGTTGTGTCCAGTCGATCCGCCAGCTAATAGAATCAATTGACCAGCTGATTAACATGCATGACGTAGAAGTTAGAATAATCGATCCCCGAATCACAACTTTAAAATAATTTCATGAACTTTTATATTTTTTTTTATTTTGGTAATACATAGCATTGTTGTAGTATTTATTATATCAACTTTATGATTGTGATTATATGTTTCTAATCGTATTTTTCTAACAGGTCCCACAAAGTCTTAAGAATTATCCGGCCGCCACGACCACCGGTGCAACCACCAAAAGATACATCGTACTCCACGAATACGAGAGTTCAACTGGGAACCCAACACATCTCTACATTAACGGAAAGAGTTTCTTTGACAAAGTAACCGAGACGCCGAAACCGGGAACTACAGAGGTGTGGGAAGTGATCAATCTGACTCAAGACAACCACCCTTTGCACATCCACTTGGCAGAGTTTCAGGCGATTAAGATTCAACAGATCGTCGACTTGGCCAGGTTTACGTCGTGCATGAACATCAAGAACAATGCCATTGCTTGCAACGTGACTAGCCATGTCACCGGAAAGTTGCACCGTGTGCCAGATTACGAGAAGACGTGGAAGAATGTGGTGAAGATTGAACCGGGATACCAAACTACGGTGGTGGTTAAGTTTAACCTCATTGACAATGATGCACCTTATCCTTTTGATGCTACTGCACAACCTGGTTATGTCTACCATTGCCATGTAAGTGTTAGCCGAACCTAGATTATCTATCTCGTTTTCTGTCTCATTTTTTTTTTTTTAAATTCAACAATTTGAGTCACAAAAATAGTTATTAAGTGTGTCCCACTTCAAAGCACAATACAATACTCCCGAGCCCATTCTAGTGAATAATTTCATAAAAAATACTTTACATAATTCAATTTCTATACATTTATTTTAAACATTAGACACAATACAATAGATCTTACATTTATATATTAACATTGATGAGAAAATTTAAAAAAATTAATTAATTAATATATATATATAGCATTACTCTTGTCTTTCTTGCTTTATTTTGCTGATCAAGTGATCACTCATTGTTTGTCTCTATGTTTATGCAGATTTTAGATCATGAAGATAACGAGATGATTCGTCCATTGAAGCTTGTTGCTTGACTGAATCATCAGATCCATGAAGCTAATAATTGAAGTCCCTTTTTCTATCCCTCTACAATTATGTGATATTTCACTTTTATTTTATTTTATTTTGTGGACTAAGTGGAATAAACAATGAAATTGTAACCAAGCAAAGCTGTACTGAGTGGAGACCTTTTGAGTGATTTTGATATATCCTACAAAAGTGTGGAAAGTGAGGTAAGGAATCACCTTCTTGTTATTTTATCTGGAAAGAAATTTTTTATTCATGAAAAAAAATAAAATAAAAGCTAAGATCAAAGAAATAAGGAAACAACCACATTTAAAATTTTAAATTACACATCCACTTCAAAAATCCTATTATTCAAACTTATCTCGATGGTTAATTACAGAGACACTTTTGAATTATGATTAAATCACTTTATCCCTTCAACTTTAAAATTATATGTTTATACTTTTTTAGTAATCCAATTTCATCTGTTTCACTGTATTTGATTCGGGGATTTCAGAAGAGATTTGGAAAGAAAAATGAAAAATATAGATGAAATGTGAATAAAATATACCTACATTTTACCTAATTTCACACACTTTTTCATTTTTCTTTTCCAAATTCCTCCTCGGATCCCCCAACCAAACACAACATGAGGAGTAGACAAATTTCAAGTCGAGATCAACTGAATTCAGGCTAAACTTGAACTATATAGTAAGAGGATATGTGTTATCTCAAATCCAACCCTGCCCGATATCGAGCCTAATCTATCCCTCTCAAGTCTAAAATTCATTGATAAAATAAATATGATTTTTAATAAATATTTTAATTTAAGTCAGAGAAAAAAAGTTTATACATGTAATTTTGTCTTTTATATTTTTTCTACTTTACTTTATAACTAAAATAATATAAAATTATAATTAATATTTTATAAATGGACAAGTCGAACTGAACTAAGTTAGAACTCTTTATCAAGCTCAACTTAAATATTAAATGGGCACGAAATCTATCAAGCTATATGGGCAAAATAAGTTTTTCTATATTTTAAAAATATCAAGTTATGCTGACACTACAGGAAATTAGGGATTTAACGGCGTTTAATTAACGGCGTTTTAATAAACGTCACTTTTTATTTATCGCATTTAGCGGCGTTTTTAAAAACGCCGCCTATACTAATTTTACGACGTTTTTAAAGCGTCATAAACTTATAGCGACGGCCGCGTCCTCGACGTTTGGTGATAAGCGTCACTAAAGGAATTAGCGGCGTTTTTCATATATATAGCGGCGTTTTTAAAACGCCGCTAAAAGTCATTTTTCCAGCAGTGTGAACTCGTCATCAACCCGATGGCCACCCCTACTTTCACCTCTAAAATGAGATATTTGTAGAGCTCTTATAATTGAAAATTTTAAGTTTATGATTTTAAAATTTTAAAAAAATGATGATACATTGATTAACAATTTTGAATGTGTCCGTGGAACTAACCCTTATTTCTTATTGACTTTTCTTCTAAATCAATGTTGATGCAGACAGAATCACGCTTAAGATTCGTGAGCTAATAAAATAATTAATAAATCTTTCTTGAAATGTTTTAATTACTTCAAGAAGTAACCTAGTCGTTTTTATCACATTGACAATTACTTGATTGTCAATACTTTTGCTTATTAAAATCCTTAAATTATTTGGTACGTAGTATACAAAATGTCATTAAAAAATTACATGGTGGTCCTTTTAATATAATTTTTAAATACCAAAGTCTATGTTTGGGAAGTTGGATTTGAGAAGTTTTTTGGTTAAAATAGCCACAAAAAATAAAATAAGTTTTTTAACTTAATAAGACAAAACATCACATCCAATTCATAATCATTACATTATTTCTCTCATAAAAAAACTAAAAAAGTCAAAAAACAAAAATCTCTCTCCAAACAAGATTTTTTAATCCCAGGTTAAAATAGTCAAAAAAGTTAAAAAGTTAAAAAGCCAACTCATTTCTAAACAAAACCAAAAAAAATTGGTTGGATTGTGGATTTCCATATTTAATGGATCAATCTCACCACCCTTAACCAACTGAGCTGTAATTTTCTAGCCACCATGGCCATTTGACTATGATAACTTATTTTTAAAACAACAATGATTCATCCCCCCTTTTCCTCCCATCCCCTTTGACCCCCTCTCTCTCTCATTGGTTACATTTTCTTTTTCTTTTTCTTTTTTTTCCTGCTCCTCCAATCATCACCCGCCGCATGGCAAAGGGGGTGAGGGGGTGACCCCCAAAAGGAGGTCCCAAGCATTATTCTTTTTAAAATAGTATAATTCATAAATTTTGTCTAGAAATCTTAATGTGCCATTTAGATTTATTCTATACATAAATTTTATAATATATATTTTTAATTTTTATTACACATTTCAATTCTTGATACAATTTTGAGAATAAATCATTACAAGAAAAGTTGCCTATAATGGCGCTTGAATCAAAGACGTTTTATAAGACGCCGTGGTATATCTCAATAGTCAACACGTTTTTCGAGGTGTGATGCCCTGTTGATGGTCTCAATGAGCCAAACCTGTTTTACTTGACAGACACTTAACCCATTCCAATTACCATAGGTAACAAAATCTCTCACGAGTCGCTCTTCTCTCTCGCGATTAATATCGATCTCTCACTGTAGCTGTTCTTCATCGGACTCGAACTCGATCTTTCTCACTCTAGCTGTTATTCATCTCTCTCTCTCTCTCTCTCTCTCTCACAAATCGCAGATCCGAAATCGAACAAGAAAGTCGATCTAATCTAATCGAAATCCAAACTCGATCTGATCTGATCTGATCTCTCTTGCGTTTTGTTAGATCGGTTCTTGCTCTAGCTTTTCTTCATCGAACTCGAACTCGATCTGTCTCACGGATTGTAGATCCAAAATCGAACAATCTCTCTCTCTCTCTCTCTCTCTCTCACAAATCGCAGATCTGAAATCGAACAAGAAAGTCGATCTAATCTAATCGAAATCCAAACTCGATCTGATCTGATCTGATCTCTCTTGCATTTTGTTAGATCGGTTCTTGCTCTAACTTTTCTTCATCAAACTCGAACTCGATCTGTCTCACGGATTGTAGATCCAAAATCGAACAAGAAAGTTGATCTAATCTGATCAAAATCCGAACTCGATCTGATCTGATCTGATCTCTCTCGTATTTTGTTAAATCTGCTGATTAACAAGGTTTCAAGCAAGTCATTTTTATTTTGTTTTTCATTAACAAGTGTTAATCGATGTTTGATTTCTCTATAGGTGCCGATGAAGTGTAAAGATTGCTTACATGAACTTGTAAAGGAAGAGATAGGAAAGAAGGATTCGAGTACGGAGGAGTGGAAGATCGCTATGGAGAGAAGCTTCAATCGTATGGACAATAAGGTGATTGCATGGAACGACATATTCACTTTTTGTTCTGTCCAGATATTCCAGATTCATTTTTTTGTTCTGTCCAGATTTTTTTTCTTTTCTTCCTCTTCTTCTTTGTTCTGTCCAGGTTTGTCTTCCTCTTCAATTTATTTTTTTTTCTAGAATTTTTTTTTCTTATGTTTCTTCGCAACAAACGAAGAATGAAGACACCCTATTTTTCATTTTTTTTCCAAATTTCTTTTCTGTCCAGATTTTTTTCTGTTCTGTCCAGATTTTTGTTTTTCTGTTTTGTCCAGGTTTCTGATTTTGTGGGTTGTAAGGGTTTTACTATTTGAAATTCATTTTTATTTGCTTAGGTTTTGTTCTCTAAAGTGAGTGACATTAATGACAGACATGAAATTAAAATGTTGTGATATGTTTAAACAAGCTAGCACAAGAATATGCAAGAAGAAACATGTAATTTATAGCATTCTTTTGGGTAGAAAGAAAACAAGTCCTTTTCTCTTTTCTTTTTTTCTGTTTCTTTTTTCCCTTTGTGTACTTGTCCTTGATAAAGATGTGTTTTTTTTTTTTTGAACAATTGTCCTTGATAAAGACAATTATAAATTATTTACAAAAAGTACACATAATAAAATTACAACGCCAGATTAGTGAGACCAAAATTGAACCTACCACTTGACACCTTTCAAGGCCACGTTTTAAGGAAATATCAACAATATTGTTACCCATATATATGCCCACCTATTTTACTTAGTAATGTTTGAGTCTGTTTTAATTCAAGTTTCATGATATTTGTATTATATGTACATGTAGCTTACTTTGTTGCTGGATTTGTAAACTTCTTTCAACAGAAAATGTAACTGAGTTATGTTGTTTGTGCATATAGGGACTTTAACTCTTTCCAATTTGGGCATGTTTGGAGTGGATAGGTTTGATGCTATTCTTCCTCCAAGCCAGGTTAGTAATGAGGGCGAGGCCTTTCACTTCCAAGATGCTATGTGTTGAACCAATTTGTACTGATTTACTTCTAAGCTACTGAAAACCTCCTTTGTTACTTTATGATTGGCATTGTGATCCAAAATTTTGCTTTGGTTAATTATGTTGATTTCATAGTAGGATGTCATCTACTCCATGTCGAATTGCTTTGTTGAATAATTTGATGTTTATGCTACATAAATAGAAAGTTTCATTTTCAAGATTTCATAGAAATCATCTACATGAAGCTAATATAAACATAATGAAAAATTTAGAGTTATATCTTATATTTGAATATGTAGTTTGAACGGGAGGCATGTATTCTTATTCAAAGTCCAAACCATAATATAGGGAGTGATATTAATTATAGTTTTAAACACACTAAAGACAATGTAGTAGTCATTTCATCAAGAGAGGTTTAAGAGGAATGATAGTGATGAGTGATAGAGAGAGAAATAAATATTTTTGTCATGAGAATTCACTGGTGAAGGACTTGGACTGGTACAGCACAAACTCTGAAAGCTAAGAAATTCATTAAAAAAAACACAATTGGAAACCATTTCTTCCAAAAATATATATAATTATGTATAAAATATAATTTAAGAGAGTGTAGGACACAATTAACTTCATTTGGAGGGTTATTTGACCCAAAATAAATAAATAATCATCTAGCTAGCATGTGAAAGAATTGTCCTGCATGTAACTTTGTCTTGATTTGTAGTATTATATGGTGAAGTTTGGTCTTCAATTCAAACAAGTTTTCTTCATAATTCCTTCTGGTCTTCAACTATGCTAGACCCACCAAGAATCCTTTTTCTTTATTTTAATCACTGGTTTTGGAGATGGCCCATTAGAGTTGCAACAAAAAG